ACCAAGGTCACAATTTTTATATATAAAGAAAAATTCCATCAATAAAAACATTACTCTTCAGCTTAGCAAGACCATCAGGACAGACCATCTGATGAAAATAACATTATAATAATGACCATTGCTTTCTCAGTTTACTCTGGTACAAGACCAATGATAATGGAGCACTTAAATTTATATGAATGCTCTATGATAGGTGCCTATTTAGAAGGCTACAAGTGTGAAGTATTCAGTGAGAATTGAACTCACTACAACTGGAATGATCTGTGAGACTAGCTTGCTAACCACAGCTGTTCAAATAGTATAAAACTATCTTCTTTCTCCCTGTATGTTTTTATAAAGCTTTACTAGAAATATAAAAATGGCCACTGAGGTCAATGCCAACAGTCTGTTTCATGTTACAACACAGTCTTCAAGCATGAAATGGACTGTCACCACTTTTTATATTTCCATTTGTGCTATTTCTGATATTGAGCACTTTTACCCAGAAATATAGCATACCTTAAAACTATTTATAATGACAGATATGAAATAGCTGAACAAAGTATGAAAACCAGTTGGATATTTTAAATTTTTTGTTGCCAACACTTTCTTCATTAAGAACATCATTAGAACAGTAAAAAAAAATTGTCAACATGGCATCCTTGCTACTTAGAAAATGCTGTAGTTAATTTGAATATTTAACAGTTAATAAAATAAACATCTGTGAACTATCAATGAGATTTGTATATAGAAAAAAAGTTAAATATAGTGATTTGATACAAGAAAAATGGTAAGTTACAGTAAGAAAAATAAACTGCGTATATCTAAAGAAAATAATGAATATATGTAATTGAGGTTATAATTTATGATAATATCTACGTGCAAAAATTTAAAACATTCAACTAGGTTTTATATGTTCCATATAAATTAAATATTATGCATCTTAAAAACTGTCAAAAATGATTTTGGTTCTTTTGGATTTTATATATATATATATATATATATATAAAAAAAAAAAAAACTACTCCTAGATAATAAACAAGTTAATTGGCAATAATTTTGTTCAACTTTGAACTAAAATAAACAAATAATTCTTTTTCTGGTTGCTGATCTACTTTCTTAGTACACATCTGATAAATTATGACTCATAATTTTTTTTTTTTTGTTATTCTCTCTTCCATTTTGGCATTCCATTTCTAGGAATTTGAAAAGGGCATCTCGGTAGTGAGAGTTGCAGTCAGCTTCATAAATAACTCATTTACAAAAAGATTAATACCAACAGTAATGATTAAACACCAATTAACCATTCTTTGGATATATTATTATCATTCCAACAGGCTTTGGTTATTACCACAATATTTCAGCTGATTGATTTCTTGCTCAGCAGGGAAGGAATTGGAATGCAATCCTGTGTATAAATATGGAATCACCTTGCTGAGAATGGAATTGTTTGTGTAACTTACCCCTTGCTAAGGAGGAGTTGACTTTGTTGGTACATTAACCACTATTTATTAAGGAATCCATTGCATATGCAATACTTAAAGACGACATCAGCCAAAAATGTTGTTGTAACAGGAAAATAAAAATGAATATATATATATATATATAAAATTGTGTGTGGCCAAAAATAAGTAGTCAAAAGCTATAAAAACTAAACAATCAGGCTATCAAAAATGATTTCATCAACATACATTCTGAGCCTTTGTATACAGCTCAAAAATTACCTTAGAAATCCAGGTTGCCAATTGCCAAATACACCAATTTTAAAAAAATGTGAAAATCCATTTTAAACAATTTTTTTCATTATGAGCTTGTTTTTGAATGTAGCTCACAAATGATGATCTTAGCCACTCAAGGCAGACAACTCTTCTCATTTTTTTCCCCCCTCTTCCATTGCTCAATATTTTATGAAACACACCCATCATCAAGTGGACATGAAGATCATCTCATTCAAAACAAGCAATTTTTTTTTTTTTTTTCAACAACATTTGTCTCCCTTGCCAGTTATAATAGTAATTTGAAAAACGTGTCTTTCCGGTGTATATTTGTTAAAATCCCTCATTCTCCAATGAGGATCCTGTCAATGAAGGCAAACGCTTTTACATCCAACATTTATTCCCCCTCCCTACTTTTTTTTCTTTCTGGATAATAGAACCTTGAACAGTACTTGTCTCATGTATATAGGTATGTATGCCTCTCACAAACGTTTACCCATCAGAACCAAGATCTGGTCACTCATTAGAAAAGAAAAAAACATTTCATGTCCGAGATTTTTTTTTTGTTTTTCCTCATGCAAAACGATGGTCGTGTTCAATTTTTAAATTTAAGATTACACCTATATTGCTAATTTTATGAAGGAAAAGGCTTGCATGTTTGCAAATAGGGGAAAGGAGAGAAAACAACCCTGTATAATTGCATCTCTTCATGTTGTCAAGAACATTTTCTGATAAGGAATGAAAGCAGCTTAATATATATTAGAAAAAAAAAATATATATATACCTGCCAGTAGGTAATTAATGTTTGACTGAATAACAAATTCTACAAAACTGACTGTTTCTGACTGATGACCAGTGTTCTTTTTTTTTTTTTTTTTTTTTCCCATTTTTCTAATTAACCAATAAACTCTTTACACTTTGTTTCTTTAAGCACCAAAATTCATATTGTGTCCAATAAACTTTTATAACATTTCACTTCTTAAAATACATTTGACTTTTTTTTTTTTTTTCTTTCTTACACCACTGATGATGATTCATGTGAGTCAGTAGATTGGACACAATACAAATTGGCTATTTTATATATCAACAACATCATCATTTGTGAAATACTTAGATATATAAAATATAGACATAATAGGTCTATATTTTGTAATATATTTTACATATCTATCTGTTTGAGCAATATATAAAATTACCCCAAATCCTGCTCTAATTCACATGTCTGACCTGGATGTAAGTAAGCATGAGAGCAACATCTATCAGGCCTACATTCTGTTGCTTGAACAGCACAGTAAAATTAACTAGCCATTATTATGTTTGGCAGAGTGCACATGTACTACATTAAGTGCCATTTCAAATATAAATAATAATAATTCTATCATTCGGTTTTTTTTTTTTATTTAAGAGTACTAAGCTTATATACCATAACTAATATTGTAATTCTGGAAGATAACATAATTTAGGCAAGTGTCATCTGTTAACTTATCTTATGACTAATATATATATATATATATATGCACACACGTGATTTTATTATATTACTATTATCTTACAGTGTTACCAATCATCTGTTGGGAATATATTATCCATAAGTATGTCATCTCTAATCATCCATACTTCAGTTGTTCCATGTCTTCCATAACATAACAAATTTATATATATATATATATATAAATATATATATATATATACACACACTCTTATAAATGATGAAAATAACTTCAGTAATGCTGTTTGGAGGATTTATGTAAAAAATATTTAATCAGTTTAGTCTGTAGAGCACTCATTACCCTCAAAGACACTGATTTCTGTATGATATGAGATAAATATTGAAGTTTTTTTTTCCCTTTTATTGATTAAAGCATATTTAGGTTTTATTTTTTATCTAAATTATAAATACTTGAAAAACTAATTACTATACACTTTTAGGTTTAGATCTGTATAGCTTGATTTAAAAAGAAAAACTTTTACGTAAATGTTTATGAGGTTGGATCATTTTTAGGCTAGTTAAATTTTAAGTGGATTCAAAATAAGATTTGTCTCCCTTTGTTATTTGGGTCTGTTTATCGACATTTACGTATATAGATTTGCTTTTGGGTGTTAGACTTTTCAGAGTTTACACTGACCCTAGGCAAAAGTGCTAACCAAGATTGTCAATTTTTATTTTTTAAAGGGTACAATGCCTTTCTCACTACCTCTGAAATATTTCTTTGGCACAACTATCAATTTCAGTTTAATAAAGGCAACAATGATTACTTTTGTTCTAGAAAATTTGCTTCAGATTTACAAATCTGAATTGGAATGGCAGAAAGCATTGTAGGAACTTCCCTCTTGTTTTTACTGCATCATGGACTTATTTCATCAACAATCACCATTAACAGTAGCTAGTGAGATTTCATATATTGTTTTTCTTTATGACACAAAGGGGAAGTAAAAGCCTAAAATTAATTAGGACATACAGGAATACTTACTACTAACTTCCAAATCTTGGTTGCATACAAGGTTTAAAAATCACTTATTTTATAAAGTGTCTGCTGCAGAATAATAAGCAAACAGCTTTATTTTGTTGATAACTCTTTGTGGAAATTGCAACTGATGCAAAAACGAGAAGCAAAGTTACTTGTTGGGGAGTGAGACAGTGTTACATTCTATATCAAATGTCGTGTAGAGAAAATGTCTCAAGGAAGCTCTACGTAAGGGGAAAAGACCAGTCATCACAAAAGACATTTATTTTCTCAATAAGAGCTAATTTTCTATGAGGTTGACGATACAAGCATGACTTATATCCCTCACTGTGAGCGTGCGTTTGTGAAACTGCATCAGCAAAGTTCACAAAATCTGCAAATTTGATTATTACTTGCATTCAAGAGTTGTCTCCCTTAATAATATGTATGCTTTCGTTAAGTGGGGAAACATAATGCAATAACAGAACCACTACTTCCTTTCTTGTTCCACTTAATGTTACTGCATTTTTTTTTAAGCAATGTACTGAATATGTGTGGCAAAAGATTTCACAAATCCAAGATGTCTGCCTACAATATAAACTTGACATAATAATGTTACTATTTAAGGAGGTTAATGATAACTGAACTTAAGTAAAATCCATGTATACTGCTGATCAAACCTGATGAAAATTGCATGGTTTTTACTTAGTACACTAGCTTCATATGAACTATAGACATAAAAAAAATAAAAACTATGGTTCATTTAATTCTGTTAACTCCATCAGCAAGATGCTGGGTTATATAAGGTGGGGGGTCAGGTTTACATGTGAAAAGATTAGCATTGTTTATTATCTGGGACAACCTAACTTAATTCTTTCTGTCTTACTGAGGTTGAAATTGTGTTTGGGGCTTTTGCCCAGCTGGAACTCCACCCCGGTGACATCGGGAACCCCCTGGGCCAGCCGTAGTTGTTCTCCCAGTGTGAGCTCATTTGATGGAGGTACGACGACGGCATTTGCATGGGGGGGTTTGTTGCCAGATGGGCTTGTGGCTGCTGCACTGCCCGCGGGGATAGAGGTGCAGTGTGAGATGAATGGGATGAAGGCTCTCTCTGGTGCTTGTCAGGATTGGTGCTATTGTTGGCAGTAGGGCTATTGGTGGTATTGGTTGGGGTTGTGGCAGCTGCCCGAGGGTGGGGGTCTGTTTTATGATTTAAATTTGGCGTAGATGATGTAGTGTTGGTGTCCTGTGGTTGGGGTCGCTGATATGGCTTACCCGATGTTGAGGACCCAGAGGCAGACGATGTATTTTCATACCCAAATGAGGGTAATTTTTCATTTCCTCCACTACCTCCACCCCCAAGGCTGGAAGTAGACTCATGTGCCCGTAGTTCGTGAGTTTTGAGGTCAGCCTGATGCGTAAACGACTTCCGACAAATAGCACAATGATACAAAGTCGTGGTCGTAACAGAACCAGTGGCTACTGAACGAGGAGGCATAGGCTCCCCTGAATTCTCGGACATTACGGAAGTAGGAACAACCACTTCACCTACATGGGTTTTCCCATGGTTGACCAGCGTGGTCTGATGTGTGAACGCCTTGTGACAGATATTACACCGGTACGGTTTTTCTCCTGTGTGTGTCCTCTCGTGATTCTTGAGTGTGGTTTGATGGGCAAAGGTTTTCAAGCAGGTTGTACAGTGATAAGGTTTTTCTCCTGTGTGAATACGCTCGTGATTGACCAAGGATGTCTGATGTGCAAACGACTTTAAACATATCGGACATTTGTAGGCCTTCTCACTTGAGTGCGTTTGTTCGTGGTTCTTCAGCGTGGTCTGGTGAGTGAAAGTCTTCTCGCACATGGAACACTTAAAAAGTCGTTCCCCGGTGTGAATACGCTCGTGTATGGTCAGCGTTGTTTGGTGGGAAAAAATCTTCTCGCAAACCGTGCACTTATACGGCTTCTCCCCGGTGTGCACTCGTTGATGGTTGATCAGCGTCGTCTGGTGGGCAAATGTCTTCAAACACGTTGGACAGTGGTAAGTCTTCTCACCCGTGTGAATGCGCTGGTGGTTAATAAGTGTTGTCTGATGGGCAAATGCTTTCATACATATAGAACATTTGAATGGTTTCTCTCCAGTATGTGTACGTGCATGGTTTATCAATGTGGTTTGGTGAGCAAAGTTCTTATTACAAATTGAACACCTGTAGGGTTTTTCCCCTGTGTGGATACGCTGGTGATTTACCAATGTAGTTTGGTGAGCAAATGCCTTCTGACAGATAGTACAATGATACGGCTTGGCACCAGTATGGATCCGCTCGTGGTTCTGCAGTATTGTTTGATGACTGAATGAGCGCTGGCACACCGAACACTTGAACGGTTTCTCACCGGTGTGAACACGTTCATGAATCCGCAAGTAGTCACGTTGGCTGAAAGCTTTATTGCAATACTCACAGCTGAAATGTGTCTGTGATTGGCCGGATGCAGATGCACGCTCATGGTTTGTGAGATTTGCCATCCGGGAAAAACCCTTTCGACAAATCTCACACCGGAATGGCTTCTTGTTCATGCTACTGCTATGGAAGAACATCGGCCTGTGAAAATGAGGGGAACTGCCCCCCATAAATGTGATACTGTTCGTGCCAGCAATACTCACTGGTGAGCTTGTAGTCGTTGTCGTGGCTGTCGTGACAGCATCTGGTTCTGCAGAAGCCTCCGTGACTTCTGTCTCCGGATCAGGATTTGCTTGTGGGAAGGCTTTACCTCCATTGAAGTCGAAAGTGCCGAAATATTGTTTTCCAGCTGGAGTGTACACTGATTGCACAGAATACATGATGAAACATAAAAACTATTCTTAATAGTTAACAATGCGCGACAAGGAACTATATTTACCTGACGTATTTAATTTAACATATGTCAAGTCAAATCTTGATAGAACATATGTAGTTATTGTTCTAGTAAAATGATACGGGTATCAATTCAAGGGGAAACTACTCTAGTATATTCGAGTTGCATCCCCTTGGTGAGTTTCCCCCACCTTCGTGTTGGGACTTTTGTTTTGCTTATGTAAAATTCGTTGCTTAGATTTTTTCTTCTTGTACTTATTTTTTAACTCTGTGACATTTTTCATTCGGGAATATATTCTACTTATCTTTGTACACGAGAAAACTGGAAAGGTTTTAACATATATTGTTAACTGCATCAGTAATAATTCTGCACATTTTTGTAATTAGAGACCATTGTAAATTGTAGATATTTTTTTTTTTCTCACCTGTAATTTGCTTAATATATTTATTGCTAACATGAGATTAGATAGAGATTTTTCTTGTAAAGATGCAAAGAATTTTTTCTTTTTTGTGAAAAGGTTAATCCCTCTCAATTTGCATTTGTCAGAAATTTACAGGTGTTCAACATGTTTTTTTTTTTTCCTTTTCTTCTTTTTCCTTTGGCTCATTTGAAAGAACCAGAAGATATCCTAGGATATCATACTTCAATCCAAAAGTAATTCTTTATGATTATGATGAGATTCTTTTCTTTCTTTCTTTCTTTCCCTTTAATCTATTTTGTTACACAAAGAATCCCGTTCCTCATTTCCATCTTAAAGGATGTTTGGTCATTGAAGGAAAGAATAGCATTTATATCTCCATTGAAGCATATCTGAAAAACAGTAAACAAGAAATTATCTTAATTTATTGAAATCACAAATAGAAAGCAAATCATAATATCTAAAGATATGATTATTAATATATTAAAATAGATTTAAAGTGTCTGAATTTCTGAAGGATGTGCAGGTAATATAATGGTTGTTTGAATTCTGGCTTATACTTATAAGTAACTGTTGTACTTATTCTTATTATTAACCCAGCAGCGATTAAGTCAAAATGGGCAAAGAGAAGGTAAAATATATAACAAAGAGAACAGGAATAATTGAAATATTGAATTAGGAAAGTATTTAAGACATTGAAAAAAAACCACAAGTACATTTACTATCTGTCAATATAATCAAAAATTATTTTGATAAACTTTTTCAAAAAAGTCTAAAGTTCTGGGATTGACAGCTGAAAGGAAGAGAAGTGTTCCACTAATTCTCACTGGAAAACAAAGAATATTTTCTTATCGTTCAAACAATTTTGCAGGAGTTTAATTTTTAACAGATATTTTCTTTATATTTTATATTGGCTTTTAGGAAAATATTTATTGAAACTTATGTTATCAAGTCTAAGACATTCAGCTTCAAGTGAGAAAAGGTCAAGGCTTTTTAAGTTTGTTGGAGTAAGGCATATTTTTAATTTAAAGTAGGTATCTCCAATAATTCGGTATACCTAAGGTTTAACTGAATTTTCATAAAGAAAAAAAAATCTTTCATTTTAGCTTTAATTGAAAGGTAAAGGATTTAATTTACTATTTCCAGTAAGCAAAATACTCTGTATCTACTGGTTGGAGTTGATTCATTTTTTGTGGGTGAAAAAAATCTTCCAAAAATAAAATATACTTTTCTGAAACTTTATTAGCTGATTTAAAATAAATATTATTTACTTTAAGTTGAAAATAACAGAGAAATGGATTTTTAAAACAAACAAACAGTAGCATGATTAAATGAGGTGTTGACAAACACCTCATAAATCACTTCACTTTTGTTGAAAGTGCTAAGTTCTCACCTGTAGAACTCTTTGCTTCTTGCTTTCCTGTCAACTAATTTGAAAAATTTAAATGCCATGTCTATCATGATCTTCTGTTTCCTTGAATCCTGTTATTTTCATTGTCCTTTTTCTTGAGCAATTCACTCCCAGTAACCCCTTGCATCTTAGTGGCTTTATCACCTTATTTGGGATGAAATGATTAAAAACAAAGCTATGGGTTAAATAGCAGGGCTGACTGGGCTCTCTTGCTTTGAAGGGGCAACCAGCCTGAAGTAGTATGGACTGTCAGGTTATCTTGCCTTTGACACATCACTGCTGTTGTGTAGTGTCTGATCAATCCTATGAATTATAGGACACATAATGAAATGAATTTCTAAGACAAAGCATTTTAATTATTTATTTCTGACCCAGGCTTTATTTATATATATATATATATATATATATATATATATATATATATATATATATATATATATAAAAATTTCATTCCAAGCAAGTTAATAAAGCCACTATGATGCAAGTGTGTGTGTGTGTGTGTGAGACAGAAAAGAACAGGAATCAACATGGCCTGAAAATATTCTCTCTCAATGTTAAAGCCACCATAACCCACCCCATGTAACAGTCAGTTAAGTGCCACACATGATACATGTTTCCTCAATTCATGACCGACTAGGTAGATTTTCCCATAATAGTTTGCTGTTTGTTTCTACAGTAAACTGGTTGCCAACCAAACTATCAGATCCAGTCTATCCTGTTCAACCCATAGAGGGGGAAAGGAGATGGATTCGTTCCTTTCCCAATGGTATTTGCATGTAAGTGAAGGCAATGAACTTGAATGGATTTCGAACTCAGTTTTTTTGATTTCTCATTCAGAGCTGACGTCATTGCAAATAATAATAGTAAGACTTTGAGAGCCAAGATTTATAGGATGGATTTGAGCAGCTTGAATGCTGAAGTGTTAAGAAGACACAATAAGATAACAATTGACATTGCCTTTAAATTTTTGAAGATCAGAGTTGACTGGAAAGCAAGAGGAGATAGTTTAATAAAACAGACAATCCCATTTTGAATAAGTAGATCACGTGAGTAAATATTATCGAGCGAGTACTCTTGCGTTATTTGAAGGCATCTGACACCAGTCTTGTCCAACGGCATTACTATAGTTGTATCTGCAATTACAAAATCTCTACTACAATGAGCATCACAAAAGTGACAACAAGTATTTGTTAACATCACAAAAGATACCAAAGAGAAAATCTCATCAGAATAATTACAAAGAAAATATTTATAGAAAAGGTACAGGGAAACTGTTACAGTGATGGGGAAAGTGACTAAAGCAGAGATGTCAGGTCAGGACCAATAACATTGCAAATTATTCTTTAAATACATGGCAGAAGCACCAAACCAGATCTGGCAGCAATATTCAAAGCATGAACGAATGGTAGACTTATGTGCAAGATAGATTCTGTCAAGAAAATTTGTCTAGCATTAATCCAATATAATCTTTCCATTGCATGTCAGCAGAAAAAGGGGTAACCAGAGAAGATGGAATGAGTCATTCTCTTGGAGGTTAGCATCAGCCAAAAAAAAAAAAAAAAAAAAATTGCTGCTTGCTTAATGAGCCAAGAGATAATTGTGGTAAACAGCAATGAAAGTAAGATGAAAGACAAAGTCTAGTCAAAAATTAATAATGACAATGCTTAAGAAGACATGTACATTACTACAATATGATGCAGAAGTAGCAATCAGATATTTGTTGTTTAGCTTTCATAAACTAATGGGAAAAGATGCCTATTCATGTCAGACAGGCTCCCAACGATAATGGATATAAAATCAAATCTTATCAAAACCTTTTCTTTATTTCTGCTCCTTAATAATCATCGTGGAATATAAATTAGAATTTCACTTTATTTCTTGAAAGCAAAAATGTCACACTCACAGACCCATTGGTAGTTGTTTTTTTATTTTTTTGGAGGGGGGGGGTGTCATGTATTTTTTTTTCCTTTTTTATATATCTAAAAATGCTTTCTTCTCAACTGACAAAAAGATTACAACAAATCACACACCTAAAAAGGGTTAATAATAATGAATGATACATCAAAGCAGTCATAGGTCAGCTTCAGTCGAGAGTATAGAGTCATTGTGAACTCTCGGATCTTGTTAATGTTATGCCAGGGCTACGGTTTTGTATTGAATTTTATTGTCTTTCTTCTAAACTGATTGCCAACCATGGTTAGCATGCCAAACTATAACTAGAGAAAAAAATGGAGTCATACCATTTGCAAGGGTATTTGATTGAAGGTGAATGTTACAAACTTGGTCCACCAATGTCTTATTCCAGGCCACTCTGAAAAATAGCAGGGTAGACTGGATGTCCTAGTATAGATTATTTAACTATGTGTTACCCTTATGGCTCCTTTAACACCGACAAGTTGAATTTTTAGATTCGCTAAAAAGTAAGCATAGA